TAAACGCCAGAAATTTAAATATATCAAAAATACACTTTCGGATTCAAGCCGTACTTTGTGTGAGTTTTTTCAAAAATCTCCAACTAAGCATCATTTTAGAAATATGGCGTCAAAGACAAAAATATTCTAAATCAAATTTCACTATAGGTCACTAAGAAATTTAATTTCTATTTCCATTGTAAATTTAAACAAGTAAGCAAAGGCTACAGTCGAGCGGGGCCGACCGTTGAATACCCTACAACACTATAATAAACGATACAGTTTATATAGGCGAGATACTCGAAAGAATTGCACAAGATATTGTGACAAATAATAAAAGAAAACCATTAGGTTTCGTTCTCTAATTTTCGAATAATAGCAACATAAAATAATTTGCTCATTTTCAATTTATTGGTAGATGTTGCACGTAAATGGTCTTCCTAGATCTGGAACCAATATTTCCCATAGACCCATAGTCTCTCAGAAGTGGCAAAAGATAACCATGTATTATTAGTTTTTGACTGAAACGCATCTATATGAGATACAGCCAATTGACTATATTCTTCAACTAAATCAGCGTTAACGAAATAGTCAGAAGTGCGTCTTTCCTGTATTTGTGAATTATCCAAAAAGTCACTGGAATGGACATTTTCGTATTTTGTCTACAAAAGTTGGCAAACTCCTTCACAGATTGAATATTTTTGGATGGCCATCCAAAACTGCTTGGCTTTTGCAATGTCCGGTAACCCCCATTCAAATGTGCGTGAGGATCGGGCGATAATTACGACCTGCAGACAATTTTGCACTTTTTGGTCCACTTCAACCCCTAAATATATGGCGATCATCTTCAAAAAGTAGGCTTCTATTCCGACCCTCATCTTATCCCCATGCAAAATTTCATAAGAATCGGGCCATAAGTGCGATCTGTATATGATATCCTGATATCCTAACTACTTAGTTTTGTTAGCTGTAGAAATATTACCAAATGTTTAATTCAAAATGAAAATATGCCAAAAATATGACAAAATTGAAAAAATATGAGAAAATATTACAAAATCAATATTTTCATCTTTAGAGAGATATTTTTATGCGATTTTTTAAACGTTGTTTCTTTCCTGCCAAGAGGCCATTCTGAATTAATGAGAACTGTCGAAATCAGTTCAGCCGTTCTCGACATATAAGAGATCTTTCAAGCATATCTTCTTTGATAGACATATATATCGCACATATGTTGCTATATATTCGTTTTGTTGGATGTTAACATCAATGTAAAGATCAGGAGTAACCTTGTCATGGCTTTGTGATGTCGCCGCGATTTAAAATATTCGCGGTTTAATGAAAAATTTTGAATTTTTTCAACTCAAAAGATATGGTCTATTTTACCCGCTAAATATTATCCGATGACCACCCAAATTGGTAGGCTTCTTCTCCGCCCTAAACTCTAGCTACATGCGAAATTCCGATTCGATTGGTCTATAATTGCGACCTGTATAGCTACTGCAAAATCCGAAATTTTTTCAGTTTTTGGTCCATTTCGACCCCTAAATATTATGCGATCATCTCCAAAAGAAATAGGGTTCTATTCTGACCCTAGCCCCACCTCCATTCTAAATTTCGTAAAGATCGGGCCATAATTGCGACCTGTAGAGTGATTACAAATTAACATGGACAGACGGACAGACGGACGGACGGACATACATAGCTAGATCGACTCAGCTCGGCGAGCTAGGAAGATCCATATATACTTTCCTATGTGGGAAACCAATATTTCGAGGTGTTACATAACTTTTGGCCCAATCAAACTTATAATACCCCCAACACATAGTGTTGTAGGGTATAAAAATCAATGTTCAAAACCAAAAAAAAAAAAAAAAGGGAAAATATTCCAAATTTTTTTGAAAAAAAATTTCTCCAGACTATTTTCGAGTTGACGCCTACAAGTAACATAAAATTTTATTTTAGGTAGAAGTTATCAAAAGAAGAAACATTCTACACAAAATTTCACTATAAATCTCAAAATAAACTATATATCTAGGTACAATAGTTTTTATGAAAATTACATTCGAAAATTATGTACTAAAATTAAAACTGATGTCCTTCCATTTTTGCTGTTAATTTACCACGTTTACACTGAGAGGCAAAATCTCTCTTCATACCTCACATTATGGGGAAAGTTTCGAAGGAAGAATTATTCTATATCAAATTTCATTGTGAGTCTCTTCAGAAAAGAAATCTCTATTTCCATTTTATATAAAGAAAATGTTTGCATTAAAGTTCCCCAGAACATCCGAAAATATTCCTTAATTTTTCATCGGACTTTATTCGATTTGACGCCTGAATGTAACATAAAATTTCCTTTTAGACGGAAGGTGTCAAAAGAAGAAATTTTCTACACAAAATTTCACCATAAATCTCAAAATAAAATATATATCTAGGAACAATAGTTTTTCTGAAAATTACATTTGAAATTTATGTAGTACAAATAAAAATTATGTGCTTGCTTTTTTACTTTTAATTTAACACGCGGCAAAATCTCTCTTTATACTTCATGTTTTAGGGAATGTGTCAAAGGAAAAAATATTCTACATCAAATTTCACTGTGAGTCTTTACAGAAACAAAATCTCAATTTTCATTGTATATCAAAAAAAAAAAAAAATATAATTGCATTAAAGTTCACCAAAATCTCCAAAAATATTCCCTAATTCTTTTTATCAATTTTTCATCGGACTATTTTCGAGTTGATGCCTGAAAGCAACATAAAGATTCATTTTATGCAGAAGGCTTCAAAAGAGGAAATATTCTGCACAAATTTTCACTATAAATCTCAGAATAAACTATATATCTAGGTATAATAGTTTTTATGAAAATTTCATTCGGAACTTGTATACTCCAAGTACTAATTGTATGTTTGCTTTTTTTACTTTTAAATTGAACACGTTTCCAATTTGAGTCAAAATCTCCCCTTATACTTCATTTTTTGGGTATAATACCAAAAGAAGAAATATTCTTGATCAAATTTTATTAGGAGTCTCCGAACAAAAGAAATATTTATATTTAATATAAACCATAGAAATTTAATAAATTTTCCTTTATAAAAAAACCTTTTTTTATTTTCAGCAAGTAAATCACTTTTTCCTAATCGCTGTAAACTTTATTATAATTTTACTGCCCAATAGCCATTTTGCACTTTTGAAATTGTAAAGCAGATTTGATAGTACTCGGGTTGTAGATCGAAGCCCCAAAATAGTTAAGGGTTCGTTCGACAAATTTTTATAAGGGCTTTTAATATAGCCTTGACTACATACAAAGGGACCGCAATATTTTGAAATATATTTGGAAACATTATTCATACAACTTTGAAATTTTACCGAGTTTTGGATTACTTAAGAGCAATGGGATAAAAAATGGTCCACTTCGGTTCGTTTTTGCTCCCTGTGTTAGGATAACATATATTTCAAGTACCATATGTCTATAAATGGGCCATGAAGATCCACTTTTTGCTTTTTGCCCTGTGTAAGGATAAACCTCGATTTCAAAGCGCATATTTTTTTGATATATAGTAGAAATACGGATTTACTTTCTTTGGTGACTTATAGTAAAATTTGATGAAGATTATTTTTGTCTTTGACACTATCCTTCTAAAATGATGCTTTATTGGAGATTTTTGCACAAACTCACACAAATGACGGCTTTACCCGAAAATGCCTTATTACTACATACAGATTCCTGACGTTTAAATAGGACCCATGGTAGAATTTAATAACAAATTATTTTGTAGAGTATTTTGACTTACTATGATCCCATTTTAAAGGAGTTTTTAACCATATTTTGAAAAAAGAAATCGAAAATCCGGTGAAGAATTGAACAATAAATTTTGGAAATTTTTCGCTTTTTTGGTAACTTTATTGATGTGCAAATTTTTTGATATATAGAAGAAATACGGATTTACTTTCTTCGGTGACTTATAGTAAAATTTGATGAAGAATATTTTTGTCTTTGACATTATCCTTCAAAAATTATGCTTTGTTGGAGATTTTTGCACAAACTCAAACAAAGTGCGGTTTTAACACTAAAATGACTTATTACTATATTTGAATTCCTGGCGCTTAGTTAAGACTTAGTCTCTTGACGTCTTCTAGGACCTATAGTAGAATTAGATGTCAAATAATTTTGTAGAATGTTTTGATTTGCTACGATCCCGTTGAAAGGGAGTTTTAACCTAAGTTAAAAAAAGGCCAACAAGACCCCTTCGTTGACTCGCTTGTGGGTTAAAATATTTAACCTCGTATTTTTATCTGCAATATTTCCCATGACACTATATATCTTGAATGCACAGATTCCGAGGAATCTTAATCCGGAAATTTCTAAAAGTGCTGAAGAGGTGGAAACTTGCCCACTCTATTTAGGTTACTGTGATGTCAACGCCGATACATGTATCTTCTATTTTTAGCTCTATTTTCAAAATCTACAGGAGTTTTTCTATAATTTTGGAATAATAAAATTTTGTCCCACAATTTGTTAGTATTTTTCATTTTCAAAAAGTAAACATAATTTGTAAATAATTAAAGCAAATTAAATACTATTGTCTATTACTTTTTATTTTTAGCAAATTTTAAATTAATAATATACATTTAAATTAATTTGAAATATTTTTTTTTTTAATCAAGTAAAAATAATTAAAAATTTGAAAAACTAGTTTTTCTCATATATTTTTTATATTCCCTTTTCGAATAACTAAAAAAAATAATTCATAAATAATTAAACATGACTGAAAATTTTTGTTTACTATTTCATATTTTTTTCACAATATTTTATTTATAAAAAATAATTTCTTAATTTCGTTTTGAAGAAAATTAAAGACATTTGTTTTTTGTTTTATTTAATTTTTATTTATTTTTTTTAATTTTATTAATATTTTCTTATTAATTAAAAATAATTTCTTAATTTCTTGTATGCCATTTAATTTAAAAAAAAATAAACATTTAATTAAAACTTAATATGGGGTTGGTTTTGTTTGTAGTTTTAAATTTTAAATTTTAAGGTTTAGGTTTTGTTATTCGTTCTATATATTTGTTAAATAATAATAATTTTTCTTAATCTGTTTTTTTTTTGTAATAGTTTAGTTCTTAAAATTAAGTATGGTTTATATAGTTTTTGGCCATTTACTGATTTTTAAATTTTCTCTTTTTTGGGTGTTGGGGGAAGAGGATGAGGAGTTTAGGGGCGTGATTTTTTTTATATTACAATTCAAGCTTTTGCAGAAAACTTTTTCCCAAACGGTGTTCATGGGTGTGGTCTAGAAAAAGCTTTAAAGCTTGCTAATGATATCTACTTCTTTTCCTATCCAGAGCTTTAAGCCTTAAGAGCTACTTAAGAGTGGGGGAGCGGGAAAATGGGGGGTCAAATTGGTTCAAAATTTTTTAAATGAGTATTTTTTTTTTTCATTTGAAATCGATTTTTGTTTCCTCATCTTTGTCGAATTTATTTTAAAGCCTCCTTGGCTCTCTGCTCCCACTCGGCCCGGCGCTGATGTATCCCCTTGAATTCTCCAACTGTGGCCGATCGTTCGATTGTTTTGCTTATCAATGGACTCGTGCTATCGGTTTTCGTTTGACATTCGCTCAATTTCACCGAAGGCCTTTCCAAAGTCGTAGATTTGCCGGGTGAACTGCAGGAGATGGTGTTGTTGTTGTTATTATTGGTAATGCGTTCCATGGACACATGCCTAAAGCCGGCAATTTTAATGGGTGGCAAAAAGTTTTTGTTGTTGTTGTTGTTGCTATTATTACTATTTTGATTTACAATACTGCCATTTGTGGGAGAGTTCAGGTGATTGTTGTTAAGGGCCAAGCCCGTGGAGCCAATCTTCTGTGGCATTTGCCTAAAATCTGCCAAGGAATTCCTTTGATTGTTGATCACCGTGCTGACACTTGTCGCTGAGTTGCCGATGGAGATTTTCGATTCCTGCACCTCCAATTTGCTTAGCTTGTCCAATTTTTCTTCACTGGCTGACTGATTTTCTTTATCACTGTCCACACTGGGATTGTTGTTGTTGTTGGAGGAGGGGGAGGAGCAGGAGGAGAGGGAGGTATTGCCTAGAGAGAATTTCTTATTGGCAACACAACTACTACTACTGTTGTTGCTCACATTGCCATTGTTCATCATTTTATCCAAATCCTCATCCTTGATTTTCAAGGAACGCCTGGCAAAGACCTTCATCAGTTCCGGTGTAGGATCTGAGGACTTATTCAAATTGGAACAGCTGTTATTGTTGCTACTACTCAGTGAATTGCCATTCAGGGAGAGATGTGACGAGGAAGAGGCAAAGGATTTCTTCCTTAGAATTACTCCACCTTCTCCGCTGGGCGATTCCTTTTCCTCCATGGATTCGGATTTTTGCATCACAGATTTCCGACACAGCTCCTCGTTGATGGAACGTTTTCGCTCAAATTTCAATTCCTCCACCTTTTTCTCCAATTTTGCCTTATCCTCGGCCATAAAGAGACGTCTTCGCTCTTGCAGCGACAGGGAGTTGGTGTTGGTTTCCGGAGTCGTCTTCGAAACTTCGGGCATTTTGAATTGTGTCTCCATTTCGGTTTCATTGATGGTGGGTGTGGGCGGTGTGGTGGGGGTAATGGGTAAATTCGTGGAGGCAGAGGAGTTTGATATCAGGACATTTGTAACAGCCGCTGCTGCTCCTCCTCCTGCTCCGGTGGTCATCTTTTTAAGCGGACTCTTGGGCGGTAGACCCAAACTTAGTTTGGCCTGTTTGTTGATGGCTTCATGGTAGACCAGGGGAAAACGTTTTTCCATTTCCGGTGAGGAGCGTTCATTGATATCCACACTCTCCGAGCTAAGGCGTCGGAAATCCTCATCCTTGTCGGGTGTGGATTCTCGTGACAAAGCAGAAGTCATGGTGGCGGTGCCACTTTCCTTGGCATTTTTGGACAAAACCACATGGGTCTTCGACGATCTCATGGGATCCACCCGATTCAATTGGATTTTCATGAATTCCGGCACAGAAGACTTGGCATCTTCCGCTGAATCCACCATGCTCGAGGAACGCCGTGTGGAATTCGTACGAAAACCATTTGTCTTGGTAATGGGATTTGGAGCCGATTTCCTTTCATTGTCCATTTTGGGCTGTTCCAATTGGCCACCACTGCTGCTGGAGAAATGCAAATTTTGCTTCTGCAATGGCTTCTCCCGCAACATGACATTGGCCGTGGAGGGAGAGTTCAAGACATTATCCTCGCTAAGAGACTTTTCCTTTTTCAAAGCCAATACCGTGGGTCGGACGGGCATAATTTTGGTAGATTCCATTTTCTCGGCCTGTTCCAGGAAGGTGGCGGATTTACGTATTACACTAATGAAGGGCGAAGTGACCATCATATCAATTTGATTTTCCGTTTCCTGGACATTTCTACTGCCAGCCGAGGGTGTGGGCGACACCGTGACCATGGAAACTCCGGAGGGCTTTTCAAAATATTGTTCCTCTTTTCGAATTTCCCTGGCCGATTCCTGGCTCACAAACTCCCTGCTGTAGTAGGGTACCCTTAGGTTCAAACTCAAATCCGGTAGGCTGGGCATGTTGTTGTGGACTGGGGTAATACTGGGCTTCTCCTCACCATAGGCCCGGAAACTTTTGGATTTTTCCACAGATTTACGTGATTTCTGTTCATAGATTTGGGCCCGGACGGGGGCACACAACTCCACCTCTTCCAGCAATTCCTCGGTCTCCATGCTTTGCTGGTTCAAGGAACTGGAGCTGGAAGTAATGGTGGTTGTGGTGGTGTTATTGTTGTTGCTACGGCCAAAGGACTCATTCGATTTGGAAATCTTTTGTTGGAAGGCCGAGAGGCCCACAATTTTGGGTTTCTTTTCGAAATGGTGTTCCGGCTTGGTGGGAGACAGTACAACGCTCTGCTGCTGTTGGTATTGTTGCTGTTGCTGCTGTTGTTTGGTAATCTCCCGGACCATGGAAGTGGATTGCAAAAATTCCGAGCTACCAGATGACTTATTCAACCCTGAATCCTTGGAGTCCCTATTAACTTTGGTGGGAGAGGGGGTGGCTATCAAATTTTCATTGCCAATATTTTGGGGCAAATAACGTTGCCTCGAGGCCGGACCAGATTTGGGTTTTACATTCATCACATCCTCCATACGCTCCTCCTTGATTATTTGTTGCTGGCTAGCAGTCCTGCTGCTTTCACTCAACATCTCCATCTTTTTCAGACCCTGGAAGTTCTCCTCCACCCGGTTCACCCGCACCGGAGAACTGATGTAGGAGAATTCACTTTGAGTCACATCCTGGATAAACGACGAGGAGGAGGAAGTGGAGCTGGTGGTATATGACTTGGCCTCCATATTTCCGGTACCCATTTGTAGTTTCTTTGGTTCATTGGGTTTGCCATCTACTGACTCCGTATCTGCATGATCCTCACCAGCATTGGCTTTGGCAATGGAACGTTTCGAATTGCGATGCATTAGACGGCGTAGGAATCCAGATTCCTGGGCCTCCACAAGGGGCTCGTCGCTCGCTTTCTTTAATACTTCGGATTTTTTCTCTTCCACCACGGTCATCGAGGAGGATGAGGAAGTGGTGGATTCTTTGGATTCAAACAGCGATGAGGCCTTCGATGACAGCGAACGAAAACCGAAAAGATTATTCGTAGATGTTGCTGCCGCTGCTGCTGTCGTGGTCGTTTGTTGATTACTTGGTGTTGTTGCTGCTGCTGTTGTTTTAGTTTTTGTTGTAGTTGTTGCTGAAGCTGAAGACTTGCTTGATGTTGTTGTCTCCTTATAGGCAGTGTGTTCTTCCATAATTTTGGCAGCATTAACGCCCGGTGGGAGAGAACGTGTCTTGGCTTTGTTATCCAAATCTGAAAGAGAGACGGAAGAGGTTTGAATGGCTTCGGAAATAGATAAGGGATTTGAAATACCTTTGATATCCAATAACTTTTTGTTAGTCAATTTCGATAGCTCCTCATTGGCCTCGGGTATGGAAGTCTGTAAGAGAAAGAGAACAAGGATTTAATACAAATTTTAAGGAACTGGGATAGAGAAGGAAACGAAGTAAATGAAAGCTGGGGTTATAAACAGCCAAATATATGAACTCAGGGATCGTCTACGGTAGAGTAGGAGGTCCCAGGGTTCATCACAGTGGAGTGGATAAACGCAGATGCCATCTACGTTGAGGTAGATGCAACCAGGAGTCATCTACAGTAGATAAGGGTTACCCGGAGGTCATCTACGATGAACCGTATGGTCTTCTACGGTAGAGTAGATGGACCGAGGGGTCATCTACGGTGAAGTAGATGAATACAGGTGTTATCTACATTGGAGTAGATGGACCTAGGGGTCATTCAAGGTAGAGTAGATGGACCCAGGGGTCATCCAAAGTAGAGTAGATGGACTCAGGGGTCATCCAAAGTAGAGTAGATGGACTCAGGGGTTATCTACGTTGGAGTAGATGGAACCAGGGGTCATCCAAGGTAGAGTAGGTGGACATAGGGGTTACCTACGATAGATGGACTCAGGGGTCATTTACCATAGAGTAGATGGACCCAGTGGTCATCCAAGGTAATGTAAACGTATTCAGGGGTCATCCAAGGTAATTTAAACGGACCCAGGGGTCATCTACGATAGAATAGATGGGCCCAGGGGTCATACAAGATACCGTAGATGGACCCAGGGGTCATCCAAGGTGGCGTAGATGAAGCCAGAGGTCATCCAAGATAGAGTAGATGAAACCAGCAGTCATCTACGGTAGAGTCGAAGGTCCCAGCGGCAATCAACAGTAGAGTAGATGGACCCAGGGGTCATCTATGGTAGAATTGATGGACTCAGGGGTCATCTAAGGTAGAGTTGATGGACCCAGGGGTGAAGTAGGCAAACCCAGAGGTCATGGGGTCTACCCAAAAGTAAGTGGGCCACGAGGATTTTCGATAGGGTAGTTTAAACCTGCTACTGTACAAAAAGTGAGTCAAGGTGACATGTACTGTACAGAATCTGTGGATTCATACCAGGCATTCTTTAGAAACTGCAACCAGATACCTCTTACTGTAAAAACCGGGTCCTAGACGACAATTGCTGTACTCAATCTGAGCCCAGGGTTCAGGTACTGTACACAATCTAAATCTGGTGGCCAGTAAATATTGAAAATCGGATTCTAGAGGTCAGAAACTGAATATTGAAACAATCAAATGTATATAGCCGGGGAATATAGACCTGGGCATAGAACCAATCTACTGTGCAGAACCTAGAATTAGAGACCAGGTTCTTTTCAGAATTTAAGCTTAGAGTTCAGCTAATGTACAGGTACTGAACCAAGAGGACAACTACAGTACAGAAATTAGATCTAAAAGTTAGATACTGTACACACATGGAACTAAAGACCCGTCTTTGAAGAAATAGGACTTACAGACCAGCTACTGTACAAAATCGGAGAGTACAAATCAGTTGCTGTACAGATACTGTGCTATGATCCCAACTACTGTGCAGAAACTAAGCGAAGAAGTCAGCTACTGTACACATAATGTCATGGTTCACAAACTGATGTACAGAACCTGAGCCTAGATGGCGGCTGCTGTAAAGAATGTGAATCCAGAGACCTGTTCCTGTACGAATTGGAACACAGAGCCCGTGTACTGTATAACATCTAGTCCTAGAGGCTATCTGGATCCCAGAGACCAATGTCCGTTCAAAACTAGGTCCTAGAAGTAAATCCCTTTACAGGCCAGGGTCCAGAGGGCAGCTACTGTGTATAACCAGAGTATATGGGGCAGCCTAAAGAGGAGGTATTGTACAGAACCTGTGACTAGAGGCCCTCAATTGTATAGAAGCCAGATTAAGAACCAATTCTACAAAAAAATCTCAGCCTAGAGTACATCCACTGTACAGAAACTGAACCTACAGTTCTTTTGAGTTCATGTAGCAAAACCTTGAGCCTGTGGACTGCACAAAACTCAATATTTCTTCGATTCTTGTCTAACCAGAAAAGTTTAGCAAAAAAAATGTTCTCACCTCCAATGTCCTCCTATGCTGCCGACTGGGGCCACCCTTCTTTTTGGCCGGTCGTATGGCCATTTTATGTTTCGCCGCCGAATGTGACAAGCGCTGCCAATCCGATGAAAATAGATCCACTTCATCGCCACCGCTCATCAGCGATGAACTGTCACGATGCCTCAGGATATCCGATGACACCGAAATGCTGGACATTGTTGAGGAACGTGAATAACGGGCGCGTTCCTGTACCACTTCGGTGGAGGATGTTGTCGAATTGTTGGCCGTTGAGGTCAACATCATTTCCTCGCCATCGGCACTGTTCATGCTCAGCAGACTGAGTGAGGAATTTTCACTTTGTTTCTCCATCGATTGATGTTTGTGGGTGCGCAGCGATGTGGACGATGTGATGCCACCACTGCCGGGCATGTTGCCGCCCATCGGTGGTTTGGCCATGGCGCGTCGTTGCGGTGAGGCAGGGCTGCGTGGCAGGCCCAAATCTTCGTCGGAGGCATCGGGACGATTGCGTCGTTTGCGTAAGACATCGGCAAGTTCGGCCTGGAAGAGAAAGAAGAAGAGAAAAGGGGAAATTAGTAAAACATTTAATTTGGGGAAATTTTTTGGTTTGACAAATTTTGGGGATTTTTTGGGGGTTTATGTTTTTAATACCCAAGTTTTCCAGCGAAACACAAAGCGTGCCCGAAAACAACTTCTGCCACCACCACCACCAGCGGTGGTGGTTGCTGTGGTTCCACTTGACCCGGTCCGCGTATCACCGGTCATGGAATTTATTTTCATTTTAAATGGATTTTGTTTGAAATCGAGAATTTTCATTTTGATGGAGTTTTCTTTTTTCTGTGGAGAAAAATTTTAAGTTGAGGCTATTTTTTAAGGAAATCTAGGAAGTCGTTCTAGAATTTGCCAATTTCAAAGAGTTTAAAAAAAAATCAATTATTTTTTAATTTTTATTAATTATTTATAATTTTTTTGATTTATGTTCTGTGTGTATTTATTCTTCCAGCCTTGAGCCCAGCTACTGTACACGTACTGTACAGAACCTAATACAAAATAATTCATACATTATGAGGTCAGAGTAGATGTACTGCCAACAACATGAAAATAGAAGCCACATTGAGGAAAACCCCTGAATATCGTTGTTACGGACTGCATATTACGGCTGTGGGTAACAAATGTAACAAATCGGATGAACAGTATATATGGGAGCTATAGCTATATCTGAACCGATCTTCACTAAATTTGACATACTATCTTCTATACTCAATTCGGTCGTAAGTGCCAAATTCCATCCAATTTGAACCAATATTAGACGTTTGGTGCACAATAAAAGGCAAATCGGACGAAGTTATATATGGGAGCTATATCCAAATCTCAACCGATCTCGATGAAATTTAGCAAATATATTTCTGAGCTGTTTTTGATATATTTCCCTGAATATCGTTGTTATGGAGTGCATATTACGGCTGTGGGTAACAAATGTAACAAATCGGATGAACAGTATATATGGGAGCTATAGCTATATCTGAACCGATCTTCACCAAATTTGACATACTAGCTTCTAGACTCAATTCGGTCGTATGTGCCAAATTCCATCCCATTTGAACAAATATTAGAAGTTTGGTGCACAATTAAATGTAAATCGGACGAAGTTATATATGGGAGCTATATCCAAATCTGAACCGATCTCGATGAAATTTAGCAAAGGTGTTTCTGAGCTGTATTTGATATATTTCCCCAAATATTGTTGTTACCGAGTGCATATTACGGCTGCGGAGGACATAAATAACAAATCGGATGAACAATATATATGGGAGCTATAGCTATATCTGAACCGATTTCGATCAAATTTTGCATACTTATTTTCAGGCCTAATTTGGATATATGTGCCAAATTCCATCCCATTTGGACTAATTTTACAGGATTAGTGCCAAATAAAAGGCAAATCGGACGAAGTTACATATGGGAGCTATATCCAAATCTGAAACGATCTCGATGAAATTTAGCAAAAGTGTTTCTGAGCTGTATTTGATATATTTCCCCAAATATTGTTGTTACCGAGTGCATATTACGGCTGCGGAGGACTAAAATAACAAATCGGATGAACAATATATATGAGAGCTATAGCTATATCTGAACCGATTTCGATCAAATTTTGCATTCTTATTTTTTGGCCTAATTTGGTTATATGTGCAAAATTCCATACTATTCGGACTGGATATTACACGTTTGGTGCACAATAAAAGGTAAATCGGACGAAGATATATATGGGAGCTATATTTAAATTTTGACCGATTATCTCCAATTTCAATAGGGTTCGTCCTTGGGCCAAACAAATGTTGTTGGAAAATTTCATCTGGATAGGGCAATAAATGCGAACTGTACTTTGTTTACAAAAATACATGGACAGACGGGCAGGCAGACGGACGGATATGCATAAATCGACTCAGAATGTGATTCTATGCAGATCATCAAAAGGAACTATGGGTCTATCTCGTTTCCTTTTGCCTGTTACAAACAAATGTACAAAGACACAATACCCTGACCACCTTGTGGTGTAGGGTATAAAATTACTGAATAATACGAAATTCGAAAATGTAAAGACAAATAGTTTTTTTAATTTCCGATCATATAATTTTAGATCTGGTACTGTACACAATTTTCAACATAATCTAATCGATTTCATTTTTTTCGGGGAATTACAAATAAATAGTTATTGAGTACTGTACAAACATAATATTAAAATATTCATTTATATAAAAAATGTTATCAACATTGTCCGAAATGTACAAAATTTCGACATCAAAGAACATGCAATTATAGACTAGATACTGTACACAATTCTCCACATAACATCTGGAAATATTAAATTAATTTATTATTTTTATTAACATTACAATAATTGCCAAAATTATTTCTTCCAATGGAATTTCAAAACATGATAGTAGAATGTACTGTACACAATTATCGACATCATCCGAAATGTAGAAAATATATTTTATGGTGAAATTCCGAAAAAGGGAAATTTTTATTGATATATATTTTTTTCAATATTCAAATTATTAATTATTCCAGATACTGTTCAGAATACGAAGTGTGTGTGTACTGTACACATATATCCAAAAAATTGTACATACATTAAAATAGACCTAATCCATAACATCATGAACCCTTCAAAATTTTTTGTGCAATTTCAGCATGAAATAAGAGACCGTGTACTGTACACACATATCAACATTATCGTATGTATTTTATCCAAATGAAATTCTTTCCTTTCCCATAATCTGAATCATCAATTAGACATCATCATCACCATTATAAACTTTGTCTTTTCGTTGCGACCCCAGCAATTGGCTCCATTCCCAATCCTTGTGACCTGTTTTTTTTTTCTCGCCCCAAAAGAGCAAAAGTTCAACATTGTTTACATCATTTTTATTTCTCTCCCAACGAATTTGTCCCATTTTGTCAAAGAGAAAACAAAAAACAAATTCTAAAGATCAAATTAAAGATTCATCTGCTATTGATGGTATTTTTGGTGGAGGGATAGACAAACGTCACATTGGCGATAAAGGCGCAAAAGTGAAATGACGCTTTTCTTTTGTTTTGTTTTCCTTTTTTGAGGAGATGTCGCTTTCCCTTCAAAAGGCATCGAAAACAATTTGCCAAGACAATAGGCCAGACGGTGGTGATGAATCATTTTTTTTAGTTAGGGAAATTAGTCATTTGGATTTAGAATAAGTGGGAAAATACTTGGTAGAATGTTTTTTCAATATTTTGCAAAAAATTTAGATGGGACATAAATTGGTATTAAGTTCAGTTTCTAGGAGTTTACAATTATATTTATATATTTTTTCTATATTATTATACCCTACGATAACATGGAGGGTTTATTAAGTTTGTCTTTCCGCTTGTAATTAAGTATATATATTCTTGATCAGCATACAATTCTGTAAGTCTGTGAAAATCAATCTAGCTTCCGAACGATATGAGGTAGATTGATAAAATTTTACTCAGATGTGTTTTAGGTCTACAGGACCAAAAATAGTTCAAATAGGTCCACATTTTGATAAAGCTGTACGCCAAGTGAGTTCCTTATACGTAGGACAATATGGGTCCAAATTATGGGTCCATAAAACAGTACCTCTTCGTATGACCTGAAATTGACTTTTTCATATATTTGTGCCTCCCTATATTCTGTTTGATTTTTTTCACAAAATCATCTCAAACTTGGTGTTTGGAATTCGCAATAGCGACCACCTTCTCTGACAGATAGTTGGCTGTAGAGGTCCACGATTTCGTGGACCATAACTGTCAGACATTTTTCAGCGAAATGTTTTTAAATTTTGCAAGTTCCTCCCAAATGGTGGAAGATATTAAAAGATCGGTCCAGCCGCATTTAGTTTCCTTTTTCATGCATTTATTTTTTTTTTTAGATTTTAAATTATTTTAAAGTATTTTTTATAACTTTTCATATTTGAACTTAGTTTTTAATTTTTTTTCATTTATTTTAAAGTTTTTATTTTTTATATTGATATCTTTTTAAGCTGTTTTATATTTATTTTTTAGATATTTGATATGAGAAACTGTTATTTTTTCCGTTCTATATTTACTGTCAATATTTTTGATAAATAAAATTATTTTTCATTTGTTTCTAATTTATTTTTTGTTTAATTAAAGATTTTTAATTTATTTTAAAGTTTTTTCTATATTGATAAATTTTTTAAAAGCAATTTTAATGTTTCAAAATTTTATTTTTTTTTTTATTTAAAAGCTATTTTTGATATTTTTACTATATATATATATATATTTTATAATTTTAATTTAATGTTTTTTGTTTTTTTTCTGTACATTTATTTTTAATATTTATATTATTTGAGATTATTTTTTATTTATTTTTAATATTTTTACAAATTTATTATTTTAATTAATATTTTATAAGTCATTTTTATTATTGTTTTATATAACAGTGTTGGCATGTTTGCTCGGGATACCATAGTATTTTGTTGTTGTAAAATGGTCAGGCTCAACCTCTTTATTGTTGTTTTTATAAAAACAACGTTTGCTTATTATTGGAGAACGATGGTAATGTTTACCTGGTAGACATTACCATCGCTTTCCTCTATTAAACAAACGTTATTTTTATAAAAACCACAACAATGGGATTAAGCCTGACCATTTTGCAACAACAAAATGATTTTTTATATATTTTTTTAATACTTATAATATGAGAAACTATTATTTTATTTATTGTTGTTATTTGAAAAAATTATTTATTATTTTTTTTAATTATGAATTTTATTTTTTAACGTTATTTTATTTTAATTTTTGTTTTGTAAGAGTATTTAATACTTTTAAGTTCATTTCTAATATTTTTGTCATTTAACATTTTTAATTTTTATTTTATTTTTTAGATTTTTAATAGATATTTTTTGTTAATTTTTTTTTATTTGTAATGTTTTAAGAATATTAATTTTTATTGTAATTTTTTTTTTTTATTTAAAAGTTATTTTAAATATATTTTATTATATGTATTTTTTATTTTT